CCGCACCTTCCCGAGTTGGAATCAGCACCGTGGAAACGTGGAAACGTAGTGGTCACGAAACAACCACCTACCTGAGCACCTGCGGAACTCAAGGTGGGAGGACAGTCAGCAGGAACTTGCTCTGGGCGTGGGAGTGGGGAGGGGAGGGGAGGGGGAGGGCCTGGATGTTCTGTTACAGGCCCCCAGTCCTCTGGCTTCTTAAACCAGGTGCCTGCGAGACTTTGAGCGCGTGGGGAGGGGGGACGAGGCGGAGCAGGACGAGAGAGCCACTGGGGTGTTTGGTGGCCGCGGCAGCCAGGACAGTGGATGGGGGCTGAGTGGGCTCCAGGTAACCTCAGGGGTGCCTGGTGCTGGGACCTGGGTGGGGGCAGCGGCATGGAGAGGAGCGGCGAGCCCGGAGGACTGCGCCCTGGTGCCTGGCCGAGAGCCTGCAGAGCCGGGCGGTGCCGTCCATGACGGTGCTGAGCGGAGTGGCAGGAACCCCGCAGTGACCGTCAGTGCCGTTGTCCTATCACCTCCGGTCGGGCTTTTTCTGCGATCGTTTCGTCACTTCTTGCCTGCTGGCCTGGGGCTGCTCCCTGCACTTGTCCCGCGTGCCCCTTCCCCACCCTCGGTGCCGGGCACCGGGCAGTGCCCTCCTGTTGAGGCCCTGAAGGCTGGAGGAGGGGAGCGCGCGTTGCTCAGCCAGGAAGTGGACCCGGAGGGGCCACTGGGGACAGGCCGCCCTCTGGCTTTCGCGAGGCTGGCCTTCCGGCACAGAGAGCTAATGGGGCTTTGGAGTTGACGAGTCGATATTGACGGAAATCGATGTTAATGTGCAGAGAACATCGGTTTGGGTCCCTGCCTGTGGGGGCTGCAGGGGTGGGGGGGGGAGCTCTAAAAATAGGCCCTGAGGACGGCCCGGGAGAGCCATTTCGGGAACTCTGCCCACAGTCGTTCCTGAGGGCACAGACGCCCAGTGCAGCTGCCCTGAGCTGCCGATGGGTGGGCCTCGGGAGGAGGAGGGTGGGCCACAAACTGGCTCTGTGACCTTGGGCCCCCTTAGGCCTCAGGAGCCTTGTCTGTGAGGGAGTGATGGCCCCGCCTCTCAGGTTGGTGGGAAGCTCCCAGGGTTAGTAGCTTTTCTGTCTGAATTGAAGAGCTGCTGCACCACTTTTTCCCTTAGGGCCTTTGCTCCGAAGCTGCCTCCTCCAGGAAGTCTTCCTTGATCAACACACCTCTTTCTGATTGCTCAGCACCCAGGGTTTGCTTGTGCATTCAGAATAAAGGATGTGCAAGTCATGCCTGGGCTGTTGGCACAGCAGGGGACGGGGGACGGGGGACGAGGGCGAGAGTGTCAGTTATGTGCCTGGTCAGGGAGCCCTCACCTCTGAAGGACCTGAGGGAGGGAGGAAAGGGCTTCAGGCAGGGGACCAGCCCGTGCAAACAGCACGTTCCGGACCAGCAGGGAGGCCATAGGAGCTCAGTGGATGAGGCGCGGGGGCCGTGGGGCGAGGCTGCCAGGCGAGGGGGCCGGGGGAGGCCTCGCTTTACTCGGGAGAAGCAGGTCCTGGGAGGGTCTGCAGTGGGTGGAATGCCATCTGGGTCCGTGTCAGCACCGTAGCTTGTCTCACCCATTGCGGAGCCTGATGTGGGTGGAGTCACCGAGAACCAGACAGGAGGTGGCCCTAGCATCGGGCTCTTCTGGCCCAGCGCTGTGTGTGGCGCGCAGCCTCGCTGAGCGCAGCGGCAGTTCAGGGCCGCGGCGTCTCGTTGCCGTTGACGAGGATCAATCACACTTCCTCTCCTTCTGGTGTTGCCCACGGCACCGTGGTTTCCCAGGCCCGGCTGTTCTGGGCGGCGCGGCCAGGATCGCCTGGTGCGCGTCTGCAGGCGTCTCCGTGTCACCTGGGAGACTCTGGGATTACAGGGCGCCTGTGTAGCTGTGGGTGCTGGGCACACAGCGCCGCAGTGTCAGACGCCGGCTGGGAGTCCTCCCGCCGGAGCCTCGTGGCTGCTGCGTGAATGGCAAGTTGAGCCGGAAGCCTCGGGACTGAGCACCATCCATTGTTACAGCCCTTGGGCCCGGGCGGCAGGCGCTGTGCGTCCTGTTCATCCCTCTGACAACCTCAGAGGCACTCCCCAGTCACCGCAGGGTGGGACTCGGGCCGAGGTGCTGGCCCAGGCCAGTGTTCTCCGCTAGACTCAGGTGCTCCTGGGCCTACCCCCCCCTCCACCCCCGCCCCAT